GATTTTGACACAATATTTCAATGAGCTCATTTGTTCTTATATTTAAAACTGCAATTTCTTTGTTTTAACGACACATGCATTGCTCAAATTTTGTTGGCAATTATAAAACATGATCAGGAGATGCGATTGAAAAAAAAAAAAAACAGAAAAAGAAAAACAACGAAAAACAGCATCGAATCTCATTAAAACACACTACACACAAGAACCTTGCAATACTTGTTAAAGCATTCTAGATAAAAGCGTGTAAATGTATAATCTAAAAAAATATATATATCTACAAAAGGCTACAAAAGGTAAATTATAAGTACAACTGTTAAGCTTTCATATTTTGATGAGAGTTTACTCAGAGAATGTTTTTGTTATTTAACACACATGAATATTGTGTATAAACAAAATAAAATGTTCAAAGAACAAAATCTTACTATTTTAAGAAGGATTTTAAGCGTTTAGCTTTGATTTCAGGCATGCGTCATTCGCTCTTAAGAAAATATACAATCTAACATCTTCTTACATGCGTACTCTTTTTTAACAGTTCAAACAATAGTTGTTTTTGTTTAAAATACAGGCAGCAGCTTGATACACTTTTTAATCCCATCAAGGGTTCTAGATATGTACATAGACCGTCTAAATTGCCTTCTATTGAATGTAATTTTCTTTAACATGCTAAATCAAATGCTCTCATATATGCCATGATAGGATATTTGAAATGACAGAAATTAAGTCCTATTCACGTGGTTTATGGACCAATAAGGCATTTGCGTTGTTACAATGAGTGTTTAATTAGATTCTTACATCGAGAAGATATGATACTTTACAGAAAATTATTCATACACTCATTAATCAGAATTAATCTGGAAGTTTAGATGAAATACAGAAAGTATAGTACATTACATTTGTTATAAAGGTTCTATAATAATCTGACAAGAAATTACAGAATATACAATAACTCCCATCAAATTACTGACACAACAGCTAGAGGGATGACCTAATTCTGTATAATACTTCTTTAAAGCTTCTGCAATTAGACATTATTGAATTTATTAATTAAGGGATCACTGGTTCGATCCTCGGGCGGGGCTAAGTTTTTCCAGGAAAAAATGATTTATGATATTGAGTTTAATGGCCGTTTGTGTCTTACCACTGATTCAAATTTTCTTTTGGAATTAGGAGTAGGACACATGCTGAGAAGTGGATAATTGCTTGTTAGTTATTCATAAAAGCCGGTTAGGCGGAGTGACCGTCGCGGTGCCGAGAAATAACAAAATGTGTTGGAATCGGCATAAAAATACTAATATTGAATACAATTAATGATGAGAGAAATCTACCGTTTCAAAAAATAACTTTCATTTGCAAAGACTCTCACATTTTCTTATCATATTTTGGAGATCATCTGCTCATGTAAGTAGCAGTTAATAATAGCCTTTGGCATTGATTTACACATGGTAAACATTAGGTCACGACGTACATGAAAATCTTCTTATCGTGTCTTAAAGCTGTTATCGGTTTTCTCGGAAACTAGTCATTGCGAGAAAGTAACTTTTAGTGATTCACAGATGCCAAAAAATGTATGATACAAGACAATGTTTTGAGGTATCAATGAAACATTTATAACGAACTGTTCTCAATGAATTAGGTTTCATAGTGTTAACAGCAAGCAAAGGGTGAATTGGCACCGATATGAACTTACGTTTGAAGAATCTATTATAGTGCGGTAATTATTGATCCATTTAAATTGCGAAATCCATTTTAAAAATTGTCGTTCAGAAACTATAATGCGTTCGGAGCATCGCATATAGGGATACCATGCAGTCATCAACAAATTATTTAAGTTATAATAAAAATTCATAATTTTGAGGGAGTTTTTTAAACATGTATCTGTTTTTCCTTATCTTCATTACCCTCATCATTATCATCATTATTCTCTAACAGATCCGCAATATAAACACCATCAAAATATATAAAAGTGTTTTCAGCAATACTTCAATCGATTGAGTCTTAAGAATGATGAATGTTTCACCTCATAACTCCTTTGTTATTGGCTTTTGACATCATTACATTGTTAGAAAGCTTTATGACCGAGAGAGGAAACACTTTTGGACCCCTTCTTATACATCTTTCTTCAAATATTTTGCTCGTTTCTTATCCTATATTTTTCAGCAATAGATTATGCATAAAGTCTTATGAATGTTCCGTTTTCGTTAGCATTTTCTATTTGGAAATGTTGAAATCTATGTTCTCCAAGTTATCCAATATTATTTTCTCTCAACAACAAAAGTTTTTATCAATATATATATAAATAATTATAGAATCTGTATTATACATGTATATTCGTATTGGATCTAGACATATTTTTGTGGTTACAAAAACTTTTATCAAAGTTGATTTATTTCATGCGCATCAATAAAGCAATATGACTTTCTTTTATTGCAGGTTGTCATTAGACTTTGATACCTCGGAAAGGGTGATTTCATCTCAGAAGACCTTCACAGGGTGTCTAAAGCCAGAGCCACCGTTTACATTCACCAATTCGTACAAAGTGATAATGTTAGATTAAGAACATTAAGTAGGTATGTAAAGCTGTGCATAATTATATACATGTACATGTTAAGTTACTTACTTACAATAAAGTCTATATGACATGGTTATATTGAATCTAATCCAATTTAATTTTCGAGACACTTAATCAATTGGCATCCATTGACATCCTCGCAATTAAATTTATACACAGTAGTCTATTTCTCAATACAAATCTGTGCAAAATTGTGTGTATTTATTTACTAGACTATTTGAAAAACTAAGGCAACCCTACTTACATGGCTTTCGACACCTTTCTGAACTTCGAAAAAACTACATTATGCCAGCTCTTGTTTTTAAGAATAGATGGGAGTGTACTGTATTAATATGGCTCTTGTTCGTAATGTTATATATTGGATGATAATGTTAGCAGTATAATATTCTATGGTGTGGAAAACCCATTCCTACCACATCTTATATTATACAAATATGGACTTTTTGGCTGGTGAATATGATGTGATATGTACTGAAATAAATAATATTGACCGAGGCGATAACTGACAGTATAACAAGTTTCATGTTGATACCTTTTATAGATTTGAAATCATTCTATATAATAGGCAATTATGTAAAAAAAATTCTTAATTGTCTTAAGTGCCAAGTTTTATCCAAAGTCAACATCCTTCTGCAAAAACCTATAAACAAGGGCAACATTGTCTCAAAATACGCCCGTAACAAAAGCTTTTGACAGAGATGTGGGCACTATAGATATGCATATAGGATATATGCTATGGGCAATATCCGGGCAATATCTGGATATTTTATCATATCTAGTGACCTAGCTTGATCTTGAAAATATTAACCTAAATTACATGTGTCACATTTGTTGTCATGATAGTTATCATTTGTGTTACAATCCATCAATAAATAATGACTTAATTGTCCCTGTACATATCTTCTGTTACTTGAATGACCTGAACTATGTCTATTACTCCTTTACTGTTTCTGCAATTAGAAATCATCGTATAATAATCAAGAGATAGATGGTAAGATTATTTGGCAGGGTGAAATTTCTACATGGAAGTTGATCTCGGACATTTAGTCTAATGGTTATTTGTCTCTTACCGCTGATTGTCAAAAATGGGCGGGATTAGTAGCTGGACGCTTGCAGAGATATTGGTAATGACTGGTTAGTTATCAAGAAAACTGTTTAGACGGATCGGCATCAAAGATATGATTATCTAGATAATGTGTCGAAATTGGTGTAAAAACAACAACAATACTCACAAACAACAACAATAATAATTGCAATGATAATAATAATAATGTCACTTATTGATGTAAAACAATGTAAGGGTTGTTGCTGTAAGACAATGTGGTAAAACCGACAATACACTTTTACAAGCTCCTTAACACTGCTAACCGCATATAATATTAGGAAATCTATTATCAACCATCATTAAGTTTAAATTTTCTTTTAAAAAAACATTAATAAAACTGCGGCATGAAAGGGTCTTTAGAGACGGTTCTCCAAATGCAGTATATTTGTAGACTATATAGCTTGAACATATATTTCATGAGCATTTCGTTTTATATACAATCGGATACAGGAATTTGTGGTTAGGAACGGTGAGAGTGGGTAAGGGAAATTGTGGTTAGCGATGCGCACAGCCACTCACACGAGTAAGTGGTGGTAGAAAATTAAATGTTGAAATTGGTGATGAATGTGCATTTATTTATTTTATTTTTGCATCAACATAGATCACAGTTACATAAAAAGGATATACATTATTATAAATAAAATAACAGTTTAACAAATTAAAAAATCATTTCATTTAAATGATAAATAAGATAAATTAAGTTAATGACTGAAATCAGATGAGGCATTGTATAAAATATTTTTTTTTAAAAATGACAGTTCAGATTATGACTTCAACAAGTCAGAATAATAATTAGCACAGACTATTGTTTAAAGTTACTGATAGACATGATATATAAAAACTAATAGTTTAACATATATTTTAAAAGAAAAAATAAATAATAATAATAAAATTTCAATACAATGGTATTGTGGGATGCTTTCAGATACTCGAAATATTTTGTTACAATAAACTCAAACTTTAATTTAATATGAGAAATATATTCAGAGTGTCATTGCTGTTCCCCTTTTTAATCAGATCCATTCAGTACTGGGTGAAACACAGACAATCATGAAGAAGGAATATTTTGACCAATGGTATAAGCGAGTTTATATCATAGATATAAACATTAAAAAGTTATAAATAGATCTACGTATCATATTAAAAAATTAAAATAACAACAAAACTTACGAATTTACATTTTATTGAAGGCGTGTGCCTTGTTCGTCTTCATACGGTTTATTGTAATAAATCAATTGTCAAGATGTTCTCAATCTATAACTCGTACTTTTACATATAGGTCAAAACAAACGCGATATCTCTACTGGAACACCGCTTGTAAATAAATCACATGATAAACCTTGTGATACCAAATTAGTACGATGTACATGATGTATATTAAAAAGTAGTGTTATCTCAACTTACTATTGTTATTTGATAGTAACATAACGGAGGTGTTTGGAAATATGCCTTCGGATGTAATAAAATGTCCAGTGTGTCATGCGAGGTAGGCATTATAAATATCATATTTTATTTATTGTAATCTATCAATAATTTTTTTTATAATAGTTATAATCTGATAATTTTTTCATATCTTTTTGATTAAAATATAAATATTTATGTTTTACTATTTTGCTATAAGGTGGCATATAATTATGTATAAATGAGCGTCTTCAATAGCTGAGATTATCATCTCAATTAATTGTAAGATGTAATATGCAGTTAGGTGTTTTATTTTCAAATTCTACAAATCGTTGCATATTATACATGTATACATTATATTGGGTGTTGACCCATATATTGATAATCTAGAATATTTTTAGAATGATATGGTGAACACTAAATATACATGTTATTGTTGATGTTCTAAGTGAATGTGTTTTCGTGTGTGTGTCGTAAAATCATAGAAAATCACTTAGTCTGTTTATATATAATGTATAGATTTTAACCTTACACTGTGTATTGTTTGATACACATATTTCACCCCTCTTAAATAGCGGTTGAAAGTAAACTGATAATATATTCACTTCTAGCCCAAGATAAATTCAAGTACCTGTTTCAAGTTTACTTATACTTTCTTCGTTGCAACTATCAATGATATCAACTTCTTTAGGTCAATCCTATACATTTAATCATCAGCATCATCATCGTCATCATCATCATCATCATCACCACCACCATCATCATCATCATCATCATCATCACCACCACCACCCCCATCATCATCATCATCATCATCATCATCATCAACAACAACAATAACAACAACAACATCATCATAGGGACCACCATCATCATCATTATCATCATCATCATCATCAACAACAACAACAACAATCACCACCACCACCATCAGTGTAGTCATCATCATCATCATCAACAACAACAACAATCACTACCACAACCACCACCATCATCAGTATAGTTATCATCATCTTGTCAACATGATTGTTTTTTTTCCTGTTTTTTTTCTGTGTTTTTTTATTTTGATCATTTTTTTTCAATCTCCCTTCAAGCATGTATTCATCAAGCATATATTACGGTTGTCGTTTAGAAAATATGGATTTGAAACCGGCATGATTTTTGCACACTAATAGCTCCTTTCTCATAATTGGTTAATTTCATTTTTTAGCCATGTCCCCGTATCATCGCCATCGCCATCGCCATTTAGTGGCGTTCAAGCCTCTACGTGTGCCCAGTGTGGCCACTTCTTCAAGTTCCGGACACTTGGCCCAACAAAATCAACCATATCACTTACGGTCAATGGAAAACAATATACAGGTATTGAATTCTGAATGTGTTATTGACTTCATTATTTCATAAACTTTATCTTGACATCATTAAATCAGCCAGAGCTATCCAATTATTACAAGGCGGATATTTCATTTAAATGATATCAAACGAATGTAAGCTAATAATTGTGGTTATGAATTTTCTTTTTTGGCCAAATTTAGATATTGCAATTCTTCAAGATTTGTATATTTATCTTCATTCATAGAAAATTAAAAGGGAATTAATAAGAAAGGAATGATTGTCAAAATAAACTGAAAAAAAGTTTAAAAGTTACGATCTAAAATAGCGGAATTCAATATAACAATATTTCAGCTTTATATCATTTAAGATTTACTCATGTGAATTAATCATAAAATTTAACGAAACCAACGTAGGCCCTACTGATTTTTTCATCTTCAGAAAATGTAATGAGATAAAATCCGAATCATTTTTCTTTAATACAGTTGGCACAGAATATGGACCAAGTACTGCCCTGAATACGTTTCTGCGGGACCAGAGAATTTCTGTGGGTACGAAACACATGTGTTTTGCTGGCGGGTGTGGGTCTTGTCTGGTAGAAGCCAAACTGTTTGAACCGATAACCGAGCAACGACTGAGCTACGCCGTTAACTCGGTATGTTACCGTGCAAGACTTTTATACTATGTTTCATATAATCTTCTTAGATCAATTTGCCTTCTAAGTGTCAATTATATGTCTGATGTAAAAAAATTCTTATAAACATGTGCTGTATTAGTTTTATATATTGAATAAAGCTATTTTCAATTTAAAGTGGACGGGCCATGCGCAAAGTTAAAGCAGCCTTCAGTTGCTCTAAATGTCAAATATGTTATTTTTAGAGACATTGTTTCATTTAATTGTCAAACCAAAAGAAATAAATGTACGTCGATAAAATACAAAAAAGACAACAACAAGGAAACTCTGGATACGGTTCGCTCTTTGTATGTAAATTAGTAAAGCGGACATATTCTATTTTTAGATACGAACGTCACTGACTGCTATAAAAAGCTTTCGGGACGCTGTTTTGTAAGAGGCTTAACAGTGATATGATGCACTTTTCCGCTATAAATTTTCTGAAATACTTAGTTTGAAACAACACAGAATTGTTTTTCCAGCAAAATATAAAATCTGAAGGCCGCTTTAAGCTGAATGCATAAACTACTAAAATTGTCGAATATTACATTGCTGTAGATGCAGTCATATGCAGAACATTAGTGTAATTAATATTTTCCTCAGTGCTCTTATTTTAACCACGTGACTCCTCTTTCTGTCCTTTACAGTGCCTTGCGCCCCTATATTCATGTGACGGGTGGGAGATTCGAACCGTAGAACACATTGGAAACCTACGAGATGGACTTCATCCCATACAGAAACAAATCGCCGACTACAACGGGTCTCAGTGTGGATACTGTACACCTGGACAGGTCATGAACATGTTCGCGTACGTTTTCAATTTTGCTGTTTTCGGCGTTCTGTAGGGGATTCGCTTTTCCCCTACTAGGGCTACTTCCTTTTCTGTAATATACTTTTAAAATTATCTGGAAGAAATGTCTTGTCACATATCTATCTCCATTTGAGGTATTCGAATTATAAACGGTTTATTTCAGTATACAGCAACTTCAGCCGTAAGTTAACAATGATTCCTTTGGTCGCGATAACATCGATGCCTAATTACATTAGGCATAAAATTGTCGGAAAGATGCGGAATATGCCGACAGCGCGAACGTTTAATGAATAGTTTACCTTAAGTTAACCCTTAACCTCCTGCATGTCTTAAAGGCAATTGATCAGCTTCCACTTTTTTAATTATTATTTGGGATTTGGGATATCATGACGAAAATGTAAAATTAGTCAGTAAAGAGTCTTGGATCTAATATGGTGGCAAAGGCTTTTACTAACAGTTACGGTAGGTCCACGGTTAAATGACCGAAAGTGAGAAAGTAATATTTGGTTATACAATGTATATTATCTTGAAACAGAAGCTTATGGACATATTACTACTTGTCTGTGAATAGTTTGTTTCTGTATGGACTTTTGTAAACAACGACAATGGCAACATCTCAATTGGAAATATTTTCCCATTTACAGTCTGAAAGAGTTTTATGGAACTGGTCTAACTAAGAAACAAGTTGAAGATTCTTTCGATGGGGTGATATGTCGCTGTACAGGTATGACATTTTCTTAAAAAAAAAATAGTTCGCTGGCTATGGGGCGGAGCGTAAATGTTCGTTACTAAACATGAATCTAAATTACATTTTGTATCTTAATTATTGCATTGCAAGGTCAGTGTCATTTATTTTTTAAAACAATAATTTATTTTGTTTCAAATTTTTATTTTCTTGCTGTTGTTTTATGTGTATAATAATAAAAGAGTTTATTTTAAAATTAAAGTATTTTTACTTAGGTTACCGTCCAATCTTGGATGCTTTTAAAGACATGGCAATTCCTCACAACAAGAAATGCAACAACACTGTCGGTGATATTGAGGTATAGTCTTTTAATTAGCTGTATGTTTATATTTCACTGCTATGAGATATACAGCTTTATATTTCACTGCTACATGTATGAGATAATGTAATATTTGGAAAGAACATCATTCTTTTGAATGATATATATTCTACGAGAAAACTATAAGCTAAGGTGTAACTTACGATACTTGTCTGAAAACTTATTTGATTATGATAAGTACTGTATTTGTATATTGCATAATTATCTTCTAAAATGTAAGTATAATTGCCCATATATTAATTGCATGCTTACATCATTAGGAATAAGGCTGTTGTTTTGAGGTGTTGCCAGAGATAAAGAATATCAAATAGGTGGTCTAGTAAAAAAGGTGTTTGCCTCAACTCTCGAGAGGGTTGGTTCGAACCTAGCTGTCGTAATGACATGTTTCCTCGTGTGACACTAGTCGAGAAGTTTAAAGAAGATTCAAGATTCCTTCATAATATAGCTTAAATGAACGTGTTTAAACTAAAAAAGTAACCTAAATAGCATTAAAGTATACAACTATCATTCTAATTTATGTATGACTATTGCAAATATTTCTTTCTTCTTCTTACTTCATGAATTCAAGATTTCAACTTTACGAAAGCAACTTTGCTATTCACGTTTTGAACTTCATGATTTCAGCTTCAGACGATTTCAACTAGACGAATTCATGATTCCAACTTCATGAATTCAACTTCATGAATTCATGTTTATAACTAAAGGATTTCAACTTCACGAATTCAAGATTTCATCTTAACTAAGTTAAAATCGAGAATTAACGAAGTTGAAATCGTGAAGTTCAAAACGTGAGTTCATAAAGTTGAAATCTTGAATTTATGAAGTTTAAATCGTGAATTAATGAAATTGAAATTATGAATTCGCGAAGATGAAGTTGAAATGTCACCACCGGTATGTCGTACCCTTCATATTTTTATTTCATCCTTTTTAGGATTTGAAGGGTAAAGTTTGCTCTCGCACGGGAAAGTCGTGCATAGGTGAATGCTCCTCCCAGCCGTCTGGAGCGATGACCCACATGGTGTTTGCAGATACACAGTGGTTTAAACCAACAACAGAGAAAGACGTGACGGCCATATTGGATGCCAACAAGGGCAAGAAAATAAGGTTTCTGCTGGGGAACACTGCTAAAGGCAAGATAATTTCCTTTCCCTTAACTTTTATTTTTTATTTCAGTGAGGATAGGTTGATGCTAGTGATTGTGATGTTTAGGTTTGTCTTTTATTTTTATAACAACGAAAAATGAAAATTAAATGTACTTATTTGTTAGTGGTAGCTAGTATGCATTTTGCTTTACGAACCGTATCGGTAGTACCCCTTTGCAAAATGTATTCATTATTAACTTTTTCGACATTACCACTCCCATCGCCCAGTGCTTATTATCTTTATATTACTTGTTTGAATATCATGATAAATTTGGCTTCTCCTTTTTGGTTTGGTATCCGACATTTAAAAGGTACGTGTATATTTAAACAGTAATGTGGTTTCATACTTATGTCTATAGCCAAAATATTATTTTGTATATTAGAAACGCTATCTTTACACCCAAAAGGATTATAACATTTGTTATTCTCAATATTTCTAAGAAATGAAACATATCTGATCTATTTTTATTAAAATAAGTTTTGTTTTGTATATTCAATACCCTAACAAATTTTTATTACGTTCGTTTCACAGAATACGTCCCATAAGGTTATATATCAATCACATGATTATACAAATTGTATATGAAAATTTATTATTACAACTCTTATGATCTAATATTTAACGGATTGTTTTAGTCGAACACGATATTGTTAATATAAAGATGATATATATATGAGCCGCGTCATGACAAAACCAACACAGTGCATTTGCGACCAGCATGGATCCAGACCAGCCTGCGCATCTGCGCAGTCTGATCAGGATCCATGCTGTTCGCTATCAGTTTCTCTACTTGTAATAGGGTTGGAAAGCGAACAGCATGCATCCTGCCTGATCAGACTGCGCGGATGCGCAGGCTGGTCTGGATCCATGCAGGTTGCAAACCCATTATGTTGGTTTTGTCGTGACGCGGCTCATATACAGTGGTTTTAGTATTATTTTATTATTTTTTCTATTATAATAACAGTTTATCTGATATGACATCTGTTGTACAAGTAAAAATATAACGACTCATACTTTAGAATTCAATAGGTACAACATTGCTTGTAACTTAGACCTCCTTAAACAGGTTCACGTTCTGGTGCCATTAATAGTTGAATATTTATAAGAATGAAAATTTTCGTTTGAGCAAAAAAATGAATTTAAACTGAAAAAAAATCTATTGTCGACCAAAAATGTTAAATAGTACTAAATTTTGCCATTTCTCATAACGTGATATGATGGGCAGACAGGATTGTTTTTCCTTTGAACATTTTATCATATTTTACTTGATTTTATTTTACCATCAAGTTTATACTGCTTTATTTATTGATTAGGTATTTATAATGACCAGAGTCCAGATAATTTTGATGTCGTCCTGGACCTCACGGGATTTAGGGAAATGTATGGTATCTCGGTAAGATTGAAATATGAAACATATTTTATATATAAAAGTTACTTTCCTTAATTGTGTCAAAATTGTGTAATATTTGTGCTTTCGAAATCAAGTGGTACATACTATAACTACCATATGCTTAAAGTATGTGCATCGCAACATTGAAATCGTGGGTCAGAGCCCTACTTGGGTCACACGTAGACATGTTTAGCTATAAAGCTCCAGTACTGGGTATTTTATTTTAAGTGAAAGTGATTGTTATGGGTTGATTTAACTGGTTTCACCAAGACGATTAAAGTGATTTAAAATGTTTAAAATGAATAAATTTTGACAGTGTTGATATATTTGATATAGAAACCATTGTATAAAGGCTTGTCTCCTTGTTGTGTAATATCAATAACGATTAATACATTCATAGATATAGAGGACAGGTTCAAAACTGAATTTATTGAACGAGTTGAATGAAATTATATTGGGCTAATTATCATTTTATTCAATGATTTCAATCAATTCAGAAATGAACCTACACGACCAATATAAAAATATATGAAGTGCAAAAGAAATGTTTTCCATTGACGCGTCTACAGTATAAATACGTTTGTATAACGCAAATGACGTCACCTTAATATATCTGCACCATTTTATTACAATACCATTTTATTAGGGAGTCGCGAAACCGGCACGAATAAGTCTTGAATAAACTTTCCACGTCTATTTTACATGTTATTCCTTGAAATCGGTGTTTGTAATCCATTTCGTTATATTGACATAATATGAAATAGATAGAGAAATTTCCAACAATTATTTTTACAACGTTTATTTTATTGTAATCGTACTGCTTCTATTCGTCATGATATGATATTAATATTTTATATTATTCTTTCATGATGTAGTTTGACTCGGATATCGTTCTTGGAGCTGGTCTAACCTTGACCCATTTTGTGGACATTTTTACAAGAATGTCCGCAGCGGAAGACTATTTCGGGGAATGTGCAAACTTGCTTCAACGTGTTGCTAATCTACCTGTCCGAAATGTTAGTATTTCATCTTGTAAAGTTCAATAACTCGCGCAATTTCGCCAGACCGCAAATTCATACAAAACAATTATCTGAAAGTCTGTTAATAACAGAATAATTTACAGTAATACTTCTAAAGCATATTTGAATCTTTTAATTTTGTGTCCGCTGTTTCAGATAACTTTTAAAAGTTTTATATCTGTGAAAATATTTTTATTTAAATTTGTATTTGCTATAAACTATTTTAAAGTAATTCTACGCCACCGCCTCTGTTGACCTCTTTAACGTTCCAGATGCCATAAAATAAATTGAAGAGATAGAATTATATTTTCATGTGTATGCCCATGTTTGATAATGGACTCATCTTTTGATGACACATGTGTAAAGGTTTTCTCTTTTTTCTTTCATGTACCAGAGGGGGACATGGGCGGGTAATTTGGTCACGAAACACGTGCATAGAGAGTTCCCATCAGACGTTTTTGTTATGTTTCACGTGCTTAAAGCACAGATATGGACTGGTAATTAAGACTTATTTATGTTTAGATCTAATTCAATATAATTATTATGATTAATTCTGCAGAAATATAGTAATATGTGATGTGAAATATATTAATTTAAAAATACAAAAACAAAATTATCTACTAATATTTTCTGAGATGTTATCAAATGTAAATATAGTTTTGATAACTTTATTCACAAAAGCAGGTGTCGAGTTTTGTGTGGCAACCCTTACTTCACTTCAGTGCTGTTATATTTTTCTGGTCCCTCGGACACTTTTAAGTTTTGAAAATAACCACTCAAAAGTACCACTCCAGCCGGTGCTAGTGGGCGTGAGGGATGGTGCACTTTTCATTACCCCTTATATCCAGACTCAATCAAACTGAGTCTGCAATGTTCATGTAATTTTGCTGTGGTTAATGCATCTCAGGAAACACACTTAATCCATATATTTTTACCTTAACACCTCTTAGAACATAAACATTCACACCCTTCTTTACTATAATGTATTAAATATATATGAACATCTTATTTCCAGAATGTTTTCAATTAATGCTTTAATTTTTCAAAATATTTTTTGCAGGTTTCATGGGTGATTCTGTGGACATTACGGACTTTCTTAATACAGATATCAGTGGCAAGTTGATTCTAGCTATGAGCTACACAGACCTTGACAAAGATGATATAATCAAGTTTTATAAAGTTGCTCAAAGAAATCAGGTACGGATAACAAAAGGGGCATTCACTGGCCCACCCTGCAATTACTCTTTTACTACATATTTCAATAAATGCATTTACCTTAAATTCAGAACTTCCAGGTTCACTTACACCTAAATCTTTTTTCAAATTCTAGCGACATTTATTACTTACCCTTGTTAAAGTCTGAATTCAGGTCACGAAATCTTACCAGGCGCTTTACTGTATGTTTGCTCTCGAAATCCGTGAACATAAACAATTTCCCTGTTCTAAATTCTTAGTTGTCTATTAATTTTGTTTCAAATCTCATGAGAGGCATAGAATTCTTACACTTGACAAAGCTTTGAGGCTAGATTCTGGATGATCAGTGATTCTATGCAGAGGCTTGTCGTATATATTTACCGGAAATAATGCACGAGGGTCCTTTATCACTCAAACTGAAAAATCGTCATGCGATTTATTTTTTTATTGTCAGTATAATTTCAAATACAGCCAAAAACTAATTGCGATCATTTTGATTTCATATTGTTGTTTTTTGTTAATGTCATCGCAAGAATCAAACACTACAATGAAATTTTGTTTTTCAGAATGATCACTCCTACGTGACTGGAGGTTTCAGGGTAAAACTAGACAAAACACAAGGCTTTCTGATCAAAGAGCCGCCAGTGTTAGCGTTTGGGGGAATTGGAGCTACCTTTGTATGGATAAGCTTTTTCTTTATAATCTTTAATGCATTTGTCCAAAAAAAACAAAACAAAAAAAAACGAAATTAAGGCTATAGACAGCAATTGTTAAAGTCCTAAAAAAATAATTTCAAAAATATCAGTTAAAGTCTTAGTAACTTAAAACATGTATTACAGTTCTTTAATTTAACGTTTGGAGTCAAATATGATTTTCCGATTGTCCTATCTGGTATGTTACAAAATAATTAAATATAGGAAGCCATATTTTATCGGTTTATCAAACATAAAGAACACTGGACTTTCTATGCTTTGTTCAATTTTTGTAGGATCGTGCAAGTAAGACAGAAGCATATTTGAATGGAAAGAATATAGGAGATGCAACAGTTTTTAAAAGTATGTATCTGCTAAATACAACAAATATATTTCAATCTGTACAATGCCATTCGTATATAGCTTTTACCGAGTATTGCTCCTTTTTATCCGTTGGTCTTTCGGAGATAAAGCTTTTCTGGAACCGTATTGCATTTGTTAAAATAATCGTTAAAAGGAACCATTCTCTTGTTTGTCTTTGTATATGCGTCCTGGTGGCAACAAAATAGTTTCAGTTTTGTAATGATGGTATTTTGTGACGGCGTCATTACCGATCAATATATACATTGTACATATTAAAATTAACATGTTATCAGAGACACAGATAACATAATATCTATGTCTCGGATGTAATCGTATAGTAACTTATGTTGAATTAGCCATTGACATTTATATAAAATAGCACCATTAGGTTAACAATTTTAATCTCGACTAAGTTGTAAACTTATTTCATATAAATCATATGACACACGAGCGTACATTTTCAATAATGTTATTTAATGTCTAATTAATGATTTTTTTCTTTAGCTGCCTTGGCAACTCTGGCATCAGAAGTGGTAGTTGACAGTTCCCCGGTGTTATCAAGTCCAGACTACAGGAAAAGTTTGGCTCTATCCCTGTTCTATAAGGTTTTCCTCCTTTACAAATATTATTAATATCATTTTAAGAATTTTGTTGATAAGCTTGTAAACAAATTTGTACATGTAATATGTCATTTGATGTAGCCTTGTAATTTTTGTGCAAAACTTCTAGTGAAATCCCTTTTCGTTTTAATATTGCATCTGCTGGGTATAGTATTTTATAAACTCGTATGAATCTCGTTTTAAAATAGATAAAATGAAAATCTGACTCTATTGTCGCCAAGCATAGCGAAAAATTGAAAATATGCAATATTTGGTTTAATTGGCCCGTTCTTAGATTGCACTGCTGCATTCAAGGTACTTTACAAGCACTAAGTACTGGCCAAAGTATAATTCAATATTTTACTAAAATAAATTGGAGTGGTAAAGAATTAAGTTACAACGGGGAAAGTGTTCATAGTGCGGTACTAATGATTTACCATGTCATTTCCAAATTTATCGTTTTATGAAATATTGCAAGTCTGGATTCAATGTTAGTTCTTACTTAATACCTGTTAATATTCCATTTTGTATTACAATTTAATACCAGACTATATTATAAGGTTATACCAGTTTGTATCACACTTTTATACCAGTTTGTATTACACTTTTATACCAGTTTGTATTACACTTTTATACCAGATTGTATTGCACTTGTATACCAGTTTCTATTACATTTTTATACCAGTTTGTATTACACATCGTTGGAGATGAAGCTGGCATGAAGTTCCGGTCAGCTACGTCACAACTATATTATGATAGACCTATATCGTCAGGTCAACAATCATATGACACCAACAAAATAGAATGGCCAGTCACAGAACCTATGAAGAAACTTGAAGCAAATGCGCAGGTGAATATAATTGTTATTTACAATATTTACACATGTACATACATTTCAGCTTCGTCGGATGCCCACGGCCGAACCATTAACATTGAAACATTGATTACATGTTAATCAACCGTGGGTATCCGACGGTGACTTTATAGTTGAATGTTTTCAAAACTGTTTTAATGTAAAATGATGTAAGAAAATTTTGTCTTTCGTAAATTTCAAATTTTGCTGTTGTTTTATGTCTTTATCTAATTTTTACATGCTTGCAATGAAGTTTTATGTATTTCATATGTTTTTTAAGTGTCGAAAATACTTAGTGGTGCATGCAAAATACAATCACTTAAATTGTTTTTATCAAAACTGCAATGAAATGTATATTCTCTGTCATAAAATATTGCACGTGTCATCACAAGCGAGGCTACCTGTTGCTATAAATTTCTTGAGTTTATTATGAATAACCTTGAATGAAAGATAGTTGTCACGATATGGGTGGTGCATACATGAACTAATCGCAAAACCAACAAACAATGTCAGCTGAACTTTTTATTCTGTTAACGTACAATATTCATGTACATTCAATCACACAGACATTCAATATTACAAATATGTCTCGAAACAGCCGTAAGGTTATAAAACAACATAATTTTACTTACAAATATATAAAAAAGTAAAATATTTCATCGGATAGATACATCATGTATAGCCTTCAATAGGTTATATAAATTATTATAATTGAGGAAAAGGGAATCATTTTCTCACCCACTAGGCATGTGGAGAAGCAGTTTATGTAGATGATATTCCAGCGTATCCAGGGCAACTAGAAGCTGCTTTTGTATTGAGCACAGTGGGCAGTGCCACTTTGGAGTCCATTGATTCTACGGACGCTTTGGTAAAGAATATACTTTACAAATACATGTACAATTTTTAATTATCGCCGATACTTATGAAAAGGGAGAAAGTCATGTGCTTGGGAATTATACACAGAAAAAAATCACACAAAAAATAGGCACCCTGCAGCCGGAACTCGAACCACTGGTCTTCATTCTTCTCATAATATCAATCTTTATTCTCGCATAGACACTGCCCATGCATGCATACATTAACGGATATATAATCGTGACGACCCGCCGTAATAAAACGCCGTAAAACGATTTATATAATCTCTTGCATAGCGGACTCGGACTTTAGATCCGCCCTCGTGTCTTTGCAGATGACAAGGCACGAAAATGATGCATCAGCCCCTTTAAAAATCAGTTAAAGTTTCGAAAATAAAACTATAAGAAAATGTTCATAATAAGAATGTTCAGTGAAACATGACGGAATGATATTGAGAGCTTCATTTGTTTCATATCTTAATTTATGATGCAAGGACGGCTTAACTTTCTATTTTATTTATTTTTCATGTAGAAAATCCCTGGAGTTATTAGAGTTATAACAGCCACAGATATACCTGGAGATAACAACTGGTTTTTCCCCCCATTTCAGCCGGAGGAGGTAAATTTATAATCATTTATAAAAATTGAACCGCGCCAAGACAAAACTAACAGAATTGGTTTGCGACCAGCATGGATCCAGACCAGCCTGCGCATCCGCACAGTCTGATCAGGTTCCATGCTGTTCGCTATCAGTTTCTCTACTTGTTATAGGGTTTGTAAGCGAACATCAGGGATCCTGATCAGACTGTGCAGATGCGCAGGTTGGTCTTGATCCATGCTGGTCGCAAACGCATTATGTTGGTTTGTCATGACACGACTCATTAATGTACAACTCAAGTCCTCAATTTAAAACAAGTTGATTACTTGTATAATGAACAGTCTTTCTTCATCAAACTTCTTGTAAGAAATATAATTGGCATATAAGCACATATAATAAAGAATATGTTATGAATATATTAAAGTTAAACTTGCTTTAGTGCAAAAAATGAGCACATTTCTAAATTTCTACTTAATAACACTTTTTGAAGATCAAGAATCTTTGTGTTACCATTTATTATATACAACAGAATCCCTTCTTAAGATCACCCAAGAAATAAGACCACCTTACAATTGAGACCATTTTTTAAAAGAATAGAATTTTCTGTTCTCTATGTCCCAATTCTTTGTTTAATTTGTTCTTTATTTGACCCCACTATTGAGACCACTGATACCTCCTAGATCTTAGATTTTATTATCTGATTGAATGCTCTTAGGCATGACACTTTATTTCACAAGGTGTCAAAACTGTTTTTACTGGGATATTTTATGAAATAAGGTGAGAAAGAAAATTAAGTGTTTTAATGTTGCTTTAATATAAGCACAATTATTTTGTGAAGAATTATTTTTTTATTTTATAGGTGAATATGTACATCGTTTAACAATTAATAACAATTAATATTGAACCAAAGAGAATTTTATATTCAATTTCTTCAGAAATATGCTTTCTTCCCATAAGATTTAATTTGATAACATACTTGTATATTGTATTTGAAGGTTAAGATACATATTGTTTGTTCATTGATAAAAATAGACCATGGTCATAAAGTGTGTAAGCAATGATAAGAATATCCACAATTAAGTCCATCACACAATTAAGACCACTTTGGTTAAGTCTTGAATGAGGCCTTAATTAAGGGTTTTACTGTACACATTTATTATCACACAGCATATTAGTATTGTTTTCTGTTTTTTGTTGTTGTTTTTTGTTGTTGTTTTTTATGGGGTTTTTTTTGTTACATTTCATGTTTTATATTTATTCTTTCATTTCAATATGCATGATTATATGCTTGTTTGTATTCAGTTAAATAACTGATCAGATATCATACACCTCAATATTGTCTTCATTTTCTCTGCTTATACACATCTTAGACATTTGTTGATTACAACAAACTGAGATTATTCGTTGTTTTCCACTTTCAGCTTTTATGACTTCTCCTATCAGCTTACCATCAGATGAAAACTGTAAAATATTTTTTGACTCATATCCACATACCAGCACACTACCTGCTTCAGTGAGAAGACAATAAATAGCCCACTCTAATTGTTCACCATTAAATGTTGTAACAATCTGACCATTGTTGTCTAGTACTTTCAGTCCTTTATAACCATCAGCAACATAAATCCTTGTAGCATCCTTACTGACAGCCAGACTGACTATGTCAGAGAACAGTTTCTGTCCTGGCTGGTCAGTACTAAACTGTGCAAGTTTCCTGCCAGTCATTGTGTAGATATAGACTGATGTCTTATCTGCAATATATAAATCATTGTTTGCATATGCAACACCACAACAGTTAAAATCAGTTTTAATCACGTTTTTTGTTTTCATTTTTCTGTCTACAGAAATGAGATGAACTTCCTGGTTAGAGTTTAATGTTACTGCTACTTGTGTTTCATTAATTTTACATATTTGCCATGGCCGTCCAGGTAGATTTCTGCAGTCTGCGATGGTATAATTGTGACTATCTAACCGTTTAAGCTTATTGTTCTTGTAGTCAGCTAGGATTATTTTACCACCTTCCATGTAGCAGGCACTGAAGATATTACATGTTTGTTCATCAGACTTAACTTTGACACAGTATGATTGTCCTCCTGTAATCTGAAGTAATTTGTCAGCAGTTTTTTTAGTTTTCTCTGTTAGCATTCCAATTGATTTGTTTTGTTTCAGCTGTTGAAGGAGATTTCTGTCAGGTTGAAACTCTATGCCACTTACTGTTATCCTCGTTTTGGTATCTATTATCAATTTGTCCGCAACATTTTCAGCATCTTCCCCCATCTTCACATGAACAAACAATTCAACTTGATTTGGGTTTGGAGATGCTAATTTATCATTAGCTGATGTAACCTTTGCTTTGTGTTCTTGTAGCTGTTTGAGACCTTCTTCAATCTTTTCTTCAAGTAGTTTGAATTTATGTTCTATCTTTTCTATAGTATTTTTCTCCAACCTATCAAGTTGGTCATTAATTTCTTGTCGTAATTGTCTGATATCGTCCAGTAACTCGGCCTTTCTTTTCAGAAGGTTCTGTTTATCCTGTTGAAATTTGTTAGCTTGTACAGCAAGGGTCTTGGCTAATGCCTTCAGCTTTGTTTGTATATGTCTTGAAGCCACTTGGTAAGATTTATTTTGAATGAATTCTGGTATATAGAATATATCCTTACATGATCTGGAAAAGCAAATCAGTTTGTTAAAGCATATTGAAGAAGAGAAGATTTTGTTACATACTATAACAACATGTTTTAAAAAATAATATTTTTTAAATTTTATTGTTAAACATGTTAACACTTAGTTTGCAGCAGAGTGATTAGGTAATTATAACAGCCCTGTAAGGCCACATGTGTCACAAATCACATTCGTCACAATTGTGAAGAATGAGATCACATTCGTCACAAATTTTGTGATGCATGTGATCCAATGTTTTAGACAATCACATTCGTAACGAGTTTAAAATCACAAATGTCACAAATTTGAGATAAATATTGTTTTCTTCAATGCTTTTCACTGAGTCACAAACGTCACAAATTTTTAGGACTGAAATCAATTATTGGAACTAAAACTACAGACATTTTTATCCCCTCCCCCGCTGATGAAATCGGGAGTGATGGGACTGTTTTAGCGTGTTCGTCCGCCTGTCAGTCCAGATTTAGTTTCCGCACTATCCGGCCATTGATTAGTTATTATACACTGTATATGGAATCATTTCGTTTCCACGCTATTTTTCAGCAACTTCTGGATGGATATCGATGCTGCAACTTTGTAGGAACCTTCATTCACAAACCAGTTGCACATATAACCAGCATATCTCCATTTCTTTTTAAAAACAGACTTATTGCCCCTTGTTGTTGTTGTTATTTATAAAACACTGTATATAGAACTATTGCTTTTCTGCGCTCTAGGAATTTCAACGAAATTTAGTTTAATATAAAGAGGAGATGCGCATCTCGAAAAATCTCGACGGGACACTAAAGGATTTGGTCCGACTTGAGGGTACGGTCGCTTATATGGGCTTTCCGGCGGCGACTTTAGATAAACACATAAACAAACAAACAAGATGTGCATATCATCATCATCATCATCATCATCATCAGTATTTCCCGTTTGGCCGTTTAATACAGAGTTATGATCCATAATTTATTATCATTTATTGTTTCATAGAAAAGCATTAATTCAACCCTATTCTTTCAACAAATCTGCTGAATAATTTAAACAAAACTATGTGGGTACATCTAATACCAAGCGGAGATGTGTATATTGACGGCACTTACCCGAAGTTAAGACCCCTGGTTGCTTAATATTCAGTCAGATAACTTAAGTATTTCATGTCTTCAAATGTTAAATATATCTAATTTTAATTGTGTGGGAACCTTCAATACAAAAAGGGCATGTGCATTATCGCCGTGACCTTGAGTGATATGGGCCCTGATAATTTATGCTTTAACCGACTATTTCCCCGGAGTCTTTATTCGAAATGTATCCTGCAATTGTTTAATTTTCAATCAGTATATGATGCTGTCGGCGGTAAACATTAATTCAGCGAATTTGCTTGCAAGATATTTGAATGACCTCGTGTAATTATAGCTTCGCAAGACCAATCATATTCTACAAGAAATGTTAAGTTTTCTTTAAGTTTATTTATTCAACTTCCTTCATGATTCTCATTTAACCCTTTCCTTTATAGATATTACTGGTAAAATAACTATATGAACCGCGCCATATTGAACCCTAGATGAGCCGTCAGTACTAAAGAACTCTGATATAATATAGGAATAACGCATGTTTCTTTTTTCGTGTTAAAATATCTGTAGAAACCCAAGGGCGTAGTTGGTACCCGACCCAACGTATCCCGAGGGTTTCAGCAGTTGTTATGACACGGAACAATCATTCGTTAACGCTATTCTAGCATAAAGCATGCATAAATCTAACACAATCCATACACAATCAAGCAACATCACTGATTTTCCTCGGATTGCACGGGAACGTCAGCGTTGTATGTGACCGTGACGTCATTTCCGTTTTAGTTAAGCAGCGTCCGGGCCACAATGTATTGACGCTGTGCCACGGAAAACGTATATCAAAAAGGTGTTTTAACAGCGCATGAGCGCTAGAATCTCCTTGTTAAAAGACCTTTTTGGTCCTGTTAAAACACCCCGAAATCATGGTTATAACGGCAGTTTTATGCTAGAATATAAAGTAATGAATAACAACATGGATTCCAAGAAGACTAAAAGCAAACTCACATTGCACAATACTAGCCGCAATTATAATACTGCTAATAAAGTTCACGAATTTTCATTGGTTTAGAGGCGGGATATATTTATAGGTTATTACAGAGGTCTGATGTGCCTTTATTCGATTTTGGCCCACTAAAAGAGCCCGAGGGCTAATACCGATCTTGTAGACCCATATCGCATTAAGGCACGCCAGACATGTTCTATAACCTTTTTATTGCATGTGCTCATTTATGTTTTGGTTTTCATTATAGAATTAAAAAAATCGTTTGAAAACATTGTTCAGCGACAATGTATAATTTATTTTAAAAAGCGAGGGACTTT